AAATCTATGTGAAGAAGTATACATGAAACCTCCACCAGGACTTTTACCACCCAAATCAGATCTGGTTTGTAAACTAAACAAGATACTTTATGGTCTTAAACAGGCCAGCAGACAATGGAATCAAAAGCTCACCTCTGCTCTTATTCATATTGGTTATCATCATAGCTCAGCAGATTATTCTCTTTTCATCAAGAAGTCTACTTCTAAACTTACATTTATTCTCATCTATGTGGATGACATAGTAATTACTAGAAATGATCTTGATATGATTACAAAAGTATAGACATACTTGAACGCTCAATTTCACATCAAAGATCTTGGACATCTCAAATATTTTCTTGGTCTGAAAGTTGCACATTCCAAGAAAGGCATAGTTATCAATCAAAGAATGTTAGTCCCAAATACTAACAATCATACAACCTATAGCAGTTAATAAGAAGCAGATAGGAAGAAATCGACAAGATTGAACGCGAATCTGGTATACCGTATGAAAACAGGCCGCTGCTCTCCCTGGAGAAGGAGAGCAGCGGCAACTCTACTCTCTCTATCTTTACGCCTCTGCGTCTCTAAGCCTCTCACAATTAGTTAGGGTTCCCGTAAGTTAGCCTCCTTTTATAGGAGAAGTTGGCTAACTTACGGGTTACAAGGAAGCCCACGGGCTGATACACATTTGTGGCCCGTATTACACGTTTAATTAATAACTACACAAATACAAAGATAACTAACTAGATTGAACACCATAAAATATTCCCAACAAAGAAAATATTGCTTGGAACTCATAGATGAGTTTGGACTCACAGGTTGCAAACCTGTATCTACAGAAACTTACTCCTGATTCTGGTACACCATTACAAAATCCTACATCATTTTGCAGGCTCATTGGTAGACTCATCTATCTTACCAATACTAGGCTTGACATATCCTTTGCAGTACAACATCTAAGCCAATTTGTTTCTGATCCAAGAAACACTCATCTCAATGCTGCCTTACGAGTTCTTAAATATTTAAAAACATCACCTGGACTTGGTCTTTTTTATCCATCCTCAAACACCTTTAACATTCAAGCATTCTCAGACTCAGATCGGGCCACATGTCCTACTACAAGAAAATCCATCACTGGCTTTTGTGTATTTCTTGGAGCTTCTCTTATTTCATGGAAATCAAAGAAACAAAGCACCGTTTCTAGGTCATCTTCTGAAGCAAAGTACAGATCATTAGCTTCATTAAGTTGTGAACTGCAATGGCTTCAATTCTTACTCACAGATCTTGGTATCCCATTCACACTTCCATTTTGTGTATACAGTGACAGTCAATCCGCTATTCAGCTAGCTAAAAATCCATCCTTTCATGAAAGAACAAAACATGTTATTTGACATTGGACTCGTGAATTACGGCGAGGAGCTCTAATGCGTATTTTCTGCGAAGATTACTGTTCAAATGCGATGAATGTTGATACTCTGATTTCAGGGCGTTTTCTCCCCTTCTGATTCCATCACAGGGGGTACTTTTACAACAACGATTTAGGGTGGTTGTTGGCCGGAAACCGCTGAAGCCAGTTCTGCTCATCGTTCCTTGGTGTGCGATGCGGAAGAACAAACGCGACTTTGGGGAAAACTCCAGGATGCGAACTACTCGATCTTCGTCGAGGTTCGATGTTCTGGGAGATGTTGATGTAGAATTTCCTGGCCCAAGTGCGACTAAACCGTCTGTGACTGAGGCAGAACATAACTCTGGTACAGGGGTTGCGATAACTGTTGCCAAAGCTACTGCGCAAACTGCTGCGGAAATTGCTGCAGGGGTCTTCCCTTCACTTAGTTCGTCTGGGACCTTGTCTGGGCAGAATACTCCGTTGCAGACTGGAATCAGGCAGGAAGACTTCCCAGCACTGCAAAGTGCAAATTTGATGGAAAATGGAGACAAACTTACTGCTGCTAAAACCAATACTGGGAAATCTCCTGTGAACCACCTGCAGTTGGGAAATCCTAATCCTACTGCTAGTAAAGCTGGCAAAACAAATGAAGCAGAAAATGCAACTCAGGTGATTCCAAATGAGACGGCAGACAGAATTGGGAGAAAGGCTAATGCTGCAAAAAGCGTTGAGAAAGACACTGCTTCCAGTAACCCTGTTGCTGTGCAGTTGGAACCAAATGTGCAAAAACCTTTGGCAGCAGCAACTTTGAAAGGTGCAGGTGCTGGTCCTACGCAAGTTGGCCCACTGGATAAGGAACAACAAACAATTGGGGATGCAGTGGTTATCCATAAACCGTGGTCCTCGTTATTTAAAGACAACCGTAACCCCTCAAATGGCTTGAAACTGAGGTATATTCCGCCAAAAGGCACGTCATTAGATTTTACGGATAGAATTCTGCCTACTATGGTTGATATGTGGGGCTTTTGTCTTGTGGGTTTCTTTACGGGGAAATATCCAGGCCTTAAGGCAATCTATGATTTGAAAAACACATGGGGGGTTAGTTGCATTGTCAAACCACATAACAAGGAGTGGGTTATCTTCAAATTTCATAATGATGAAGATAGATCAAAAGTGTTGAATGGAGGGTCTTATACCATCTTTGGAGTACAACTCATGCTAAAATCACTTTCAGAAGATTTTTCCTTTGATGATGACGAGTTTCTCAAGGTTCCCATTTGGGTCAAATTTCCTAATTTAAACATGAAACTTTGGAATGAGGAGGCTATGAGTGAGGTTGCATCTATGGTAGGAATCCCACTTTCTACGGACAAAGTAACTCAGGATAGGAGCAATCATCACTTTGCTAGAGTTCTTATTGAGGTTGATGTTTCCAAACCACCTCCGCTATCATTTCCTATTCGCTTACCTTCCGGTAAGGTAGTCAAACAAATGGTGGTTTATGAAACTTTCCCTAATTTTTGTTTTCATTGTAAAATGTATGGGCATCACCCATTCATTTGCAAAAAACTGGCATCAAAAGAACGGGATGAGGCTATTGTTGAAAAGAAGGAGGAAATTGTGAATGAGGCTAGTCAAATAATACCCAAGGACATTGAAAAAGAAAAGCTACCAGTGAAGGAGGTCCAAGGGGAAAACATAGAAAATGGGGTAATAGAGGAGGTTAGAGGAAAGCTCCTGTCAGACACTACTGTTCCAAATGAATCGGCTGCCATGCCTGAACCAGAGGAGGAAGATGACACAGAAGATGAGGAATCGGACGATGAGCCGAGAGATGAGGAGGAACAGAGAATTCTTGATGAGTATTGGGAAAAAATTACACAATATAAGGAGAAGAAGAAAAAGATGGAAGCTGAGCCTGTTCATATAGGCTTAGGCTAAGTTGATACAGATCCTACTAGCGGTTTTTATGGTGGTTGTATTTGGTGATGCATTATATTTAGGTTAGATTTATCTAACTTAGATAGTCTTTTCTTGATTTTGTGTGATACATTGTAAAATGTTATTTTTGGGTGTCTTTTATATATACTTACATTTCATCCAAAAAAAAAAGAACAAAACATGTTGAAGTTGATTGCCATTTTATAAGAATCAAAGTTGATCAAGGCTTAATCAAACTTTTCTTTGTTCCCTCAGCCAATCAAGTGGCAGATTCATTTACGAAGGCATTGTATCCATCTGCTTTTCAAAACACTATCTCCAAGCTTGGTCTCCATTCCATATACAATCCAGCTTGAGGGAGGGTATTAACACATGCATATTTTCATGCAGCCTCATGCATACTACGTGAGGGAGCACATAGACTAATTTTACTATATCTACAAGTTGTTGAGATCTTGTTAAAAAGTTGTTATGTAGATATTTTTCTATCTTGTTATAGATACTCTTGTAACTAGCTAGCTGAAGTCAATGGAAAAGTTTATCTTCTTCATTTTCATTTCCTCTCTCTCGTTTATCATTTGTTGATATGCTAATAAACTCTCAATCAATCCTTAAAACATTACCAACCTGTGGATCCTCATCCGTATTTGCAAAAAATTACGGAGTACAATTCAAACAAAAGCCAGTTTGCTTTCTTTAAAATTTAAAATTAAAATAGAAAATTGCAATCTAAACATCCAGATAAAGAATCAAGGCTCAGCCAATGGTTGTGCATGGTATAAGGGACAACCAGATCGGTCGACAATGGCGCCCACATTTCATCTTTTCACGGGGAGTCAGCTACTGGGCTATGAACCGATGCAAGACTCTGCTCGCAGGAATCATCGTCGACGAACTCACTGCTGGAGAGCAACTCAGTTCATCGCAAGCCTGGTTCGTGAATGGAATTGCATAATCGCATTTGACTGGGACTTACATATTGGGGCTCTTGAATGCAGAAATGGTGAAGATATATCCTTAGGTGAAATGCAGAAAATCATCCACGGCTATTGCAATCGTATAACTCGTTGAATCCCCCATGGCTAGAGTACGTAGACTGTGAATTTTAGGCCGAAGACGGTTAGATGATATGTAAAGGGTATATTAGATATTACAAAATACTTTTATTTACTCCATCTCTCCCATAATTTTATCTTTCCTATTTTTTTTTTTGGGTTGTCCCAAAATAAGTGTCTCATTTCCTTTTATGGAAAAAATGTGTGGTCTGTACCATTTCACTTTATTATACTCATATCTCAACCACAAATTTTATTTTTTCAACCCCTTTATAAATAATTAATAATTGTGTCAATGCAAAATGAGACACATAAAATGAGGCGCATAGTATTATAAATAAAGGGGCATCCCCAATTCAGATTTTGGAGAATTTTAATGGAGTTTAGAATTCCGTCAGAATTCAAGTGTCCTCGATTTGGATTTATGTGGAATCCATGAAAATAAAAGTGTCCTCAAACATTCCGTGGATTTCTATTGTTACTTATTTGCATGGATTTTAACGGATTTCGATGTATTCCCACCGGATTTCAAAATCCATATGATATTTTAAAATCAAAGTCATAATATGGGCTGTAGTTAGCGTATTTTAAAATCAAAGTTTTATCTGACCCAACTGATTTAAGGCCCAATTAGCTAAAGGCTTGGATTCATGAATTCATCGGCGATCCATCATCCACAAAGGTCGAACGCTCCGCCAAGTCGCCGCCTCCCTTCTCGGCTTCACCCTCCGTCAGGTGCCAGCACGCAGCACGATAGCACCGGCAACACTGCAGCACGCCTCGTCAGTCGTCGCCTACTCAAATCACGCCCGTCGCCCAGTCGCCTGCTCTCCGCGACTCACCCTTCCGCAGTTCGGCCAATCGACCCTTCTCAATTTTCACTTCCAACCATCCGTAGTACCGGTATTCCTTTAGTCCTATTTTATTATTAGTTCATTAATGAGTTAATTATAGCTTTTTATAAATATTTAGTTAAATTACTGATATCCTTGTTTGTTGAAACCTAAGCAAACCGAGAAACCCATTTTGATTGGTTCAAATGTGCCATCAGAACCATTCAGAAAAATACGTAGTACTCCGTATAACATATCAAATCTTTACCAAAGTCCCTAAAATGGCAGAAAAAATTAATGACTTTTGCAAGTCAAAAATCATTCCGAAAATGTTTATTCATTTGCTACATTTTTAGTGCACAAAACATATACTTATATTTAAATGTAATTATTTTTTATGCGTAGATGTACACCTATACATTTGTAGTGCTTCGTTGCCACCTATTTTAGTTATTGAAGCATCATTTTAACGCAAAACTGTCTTTTAGATATTGTTACATATTTAAAAATTCCAACCTGGAAGTTTGTTCCAAGATTTATGAAGGATCGATTTTGATTTCATTTTCCAATCTTCTCAGATCTTCATATTGCAGCTAAGTTCTCTAGATCTTTCTCCTTTTATGATGGATCCCATCACACCCAAGGTCTAAATTTATTTGTTAAAAATAACTTATTTTGCAGACTCTATCTGACATTTTTTTCTCACAGTTTATTGAGCCCATGTTTGGGAGTATTTTGCTAGAATGTTTTTGAGTTGCATACGTGGGTTTGCTACTATTTTATGTATGAAGAAGATTTTGGCAATACGATTAGTGGGTTTTGTGTTTTTTTTTTAATTTCAAAGCTCTTTTATTGAATATTCAACACCTCCAGTTTCACCTAACATCTATATCTAAACCATTTATTATATTTCACAAATATTCAATATACTTGCCTTTCTAATTTATTTTTAATCATAGGATGAAAAAATGAAAGCATATTTATTATTGCATTTGCTGTTACTCTGTATAATAGAAAGAGGTTGGCTGAATGAGGTAATATTCGTTCCCTTGGGTCAAGTAAGATGTTTTAATTTTATTTCTAACACTAATAATTAGTTCACCTGGTATTTAATATTCCCAGCTGCACCTGCTTTACAAAACTTCACTGTAGATTCTGTTTAGTACTGTTTTTAATCATGGAGTCTAAAAATAAAAAACTTACTCATAAGTATTTTAATATTGATCAATTCTATACTTTCTTACACATACGACAAATAGAAAATGTGTGCAATATCTAGACTGATTTATAGTTTGGACATTAAGCTATAACTGCGTTTTTGCTACGATTTATTCAATAACAAAAGGTTGGTTTAATAAGTTAAGATTAGTGTCATTGGTGTTGATATTTTTGAACTTCCAAATTTAACTCACTTGACATTCAAAAATCACTCTGAAGTCTTATAACATTGATTTAGAATTGAGGTATTAAGATGTAAGTGCCTAAAATAATCTCTAGCTAAGGATTACTCCTACATCCATTTGCAAGACGTGGGCATATTCAATGCTTTGGGGCTCTATATATAGCCTTTGCCAAGTTATAGCCGTAAGTCAAGTTATCACCATCCATGTTTTACTTCATTATATTATTAATTTATTTGAAATAAATTACATAGTACTACGTACTTCTTACCATCAACTACTCACATCAACCCTGAAAACATACCAAGACTTGATGAAAAAACTTTTTTGATATTCTAAATAAGCACAAATTTGTGTATACCATTGTTCAATAAATCATGCATTTTCACCAAATAAATATGTTTTAGAAATTAATGTTCTTAAGGATAGAAATATTGAGAGTTTAAAGTGAGGTTCACCAATCTAGGATTAAAAAATATCTTATTTAAAAAAAGATACTGCAATTTCAATCAATCTTGAATGTAAGTTCATTCCTGTATAAATAATATATACAGTCATATACGTCATATATAATAAGTATTTGGAATGCACTTTGACCAAATTTAATTATACCTTAGATTGTTAGAAATTAAAAATAGTTCTCAATAATTTCAAATGTACATTTGTAAGGTCAGAAATAATAAAAGTTTAATTTCCAAAGTTGTAGAAAATAAGAAAAAACTTTCCACTGGGCCTGGTCATATTTATCTGGTGACCTTATGATGGGCGTAGAACTTGAAAAATAGAATGTTGTTCAGTCTCAAAAACCATCTATGAAAATGTGCACGCGATTGATGTGTTCCCTTCACAAAAGAAAAGAAATAAAAGTTGGTCCCTAATAAGATTTTTTGTTATAGTTCAACGAACAAAAGCAAGTGATAAGTCTGATAACATTGCTTTGGTCAAATTCTATTTCAAAGAAAATATAATGTATTGATATTGAATAATCAGAAGAGGGGAATAAATAATCGATAGTCGTTTTAATTCCCTAGCAGATGCATTTTTTCTGAGTATTGATGATGGCCTTCATTTTTCCATCATTTGCAATGGAGCCAAAGTTTCACTATTTTTTGGCTTGAGAATATGATGGAATAAATCAAAATGGCTCACTAAAGTGTTTGCTCTTCTTTGTTATGAAGCAACAGTCGAGTCGGTCTATGCAATTTTGGACGCGATTTTCCCCATTGGTCATCCGGAAACTGTCTCTCTATTGTGATTTAGTACAGGGGTAAGACTGCGTACATCCGACCCCCCTTACCCTACCATAGGTGGGAGCCTTTGCGGCAATGGGGTAATGATAATGATGATGATTGATGATGATTGATGATGGCCTGCATTCACATCCAGTGATTCTCAATCTGAAATGGCCTAATGGGTATTATATATATAGGTGTGTTTATGTAGTATCAAGGATCAGGGAGGCAAGTCAGGCAACAAAGGTCCACTATTGGAATTCTAAAAGTCAGCTGAATAAAAATTTTACAAATGGAAATTCCAAAAGTTACTTCAAACAGTGCTTGTATTTATATTTATTACTAGTCAATATTAAATGCATTAGTCTTTTAGTATGTTGTGCCAATATTTTACTAATCAACATGCTGGGAATACCAAAAGACACCCAACATCAATCCACCGTTTTCCATAAGAACTAATCTAGTTTAGGCCAGCCTTTTCTGTTTTATAATATATATATATATATATATATATATATATATATATATATATATATATTTTGAATCGCTACCTGTAGCTCATTTGATTCAGCCTTTTCGAACATTACATTTCGAATTGCTACAGGAGTCTTGCGGATAGATGACATCTGGGCCAATCATAGTTTTGAATTCCCTCTCTCTTCAGTTTAGCTTACGCAGCTAAAGAATACGGAGTAATAGAATCAGGGCAAAGGATAAAGAAAGAAAAGCAGAAGACACCGCATACACAATCGGCTACGACGGTGCTTGAAGAATGCCGAGTGGCAGCATTTTCCGGCAGGCTCGAGGGAGATCAGCGTTTCCACATCCGTTGCAATTAGGGGCGCTTTTGATGATACTCGTTCCAAATTTCTTCCCCAGCCTCTTCTCTCCGCTGGGCCGAACGTACACTTCCCTGTTTTCCGTAAGCTGATCTCTCTCTCTCTCTCTCCAGCTTAATCATAAAATAAGATTGGTATGAATGGTCATCTTTCAGAAGTTATACTGCCTGCAGATTAAAGAATTATTTCTGGGGACATACTAAATCACATAAGAGCAACTGAAAGAAAGAATAAATTGGCTTAGGTCATGCTTTTAATAATAGTTTTCAATGTAGGGAAAATAAAGTAGTAATTTTTTCTATTTTAGTTCAAGATCGGGTCTTCTTTCTTTTAGTTACTCTAGAAAAATAGGCTTTGTATTTCCCATTGTCCAATACGGAGTAATACACAGCGGAATAAACATTATTGAAATAACACTCATCATGAAGAAAAGGTGTAATTTGAGTTTGCACCCCATTTTATTGTCCAAATTGGACTTTGCACCCCGCTTTTAAAAATCTTTGTTTTTGCACCCCAACTCCGTATGAAAAGACAAAAATGCCCCTCAATCAGGAATATGTTGAAGGCCAACAAAATTGTTAATGGAGGGGCATTTTTGTCTTTTCATACGGGGTTGGGGTGCAAAAACAAAGATTTTTAACATTACTTTTTTTACTTATTCGTAAAGATAATGTAATATCTTTAAAATTAATAGATTAAAAAAGAATTACATATTTATTACTAAAATAAAGATTGTTGACAAAAATTTGACTAGTGACTAGAGTAGTAATGAAATCATAGTAATTTATGTTCAATTTTTAAACTTGAGTTACCATGACACTACACTGTAGTAACTATCGGTCATATTTGTGTAAATAAATTTTATTTCAGTAATATTTTTGAAAAAACCCATAGATACAACATTATTAATGGAAGATATATATAAAGAAAATAACAAATTTTTTTCTTCTTCTTGTGTGGGTACATAAAATTAATTCACGCCTCATCAGCCATATCACACATCCCAACCACAATTTAAGACCAAAGCTTAGATTTCAGTCAAAATTTTGTCAAGGAAATGCCACAATAAGAAACATTTGATTGGCTGCCTTGAAGAAGATTCCATGATTCTATCTATACCTGTCATGGCATCATTGATGTACTCTATATGGACTGTAAGGTAATTTTGTTGGCCTGTAAATTGTGGTTGAAGGTGGACTTTGTTTCTGTCATCCCTGGAAAATTAAGTTTTGTGGAACTTGATTCATTTAGTTTTCTTCTTAGTTTCTCTGAGTATCAGTCTTCCGGGGAACATATTTATGAGTTTGTGTATATGAAAGGGTAAGGTGTTCGTTGGCTTTAGAGGTTGATATTTAATCAGTTCTTACTTGAACTATATATTTTGGAGAGAGGTAATATCATTGTTTTGCCTATTTGCAAAACCAACCGACTGATTCTTGACGTTCATTTCTTGCTTGGATACTTACATCTATTTACCCACAATGTGGAGTTCCAGATGTTAATTTATTCATATTGCATGTAGTTCTAGATGTTAAATGATTCAGTCATACTAAGAGCGTCTTTCGTAAAAATGTTATTATACAGTAAATCAGTAATTGCATTTACTAAACGGAGCAACTGTAGGAATGGAATGCTCCAAAGCCCATGCACTTGCATTTACTGAATGGAGCAATACAACACCACACAATTGTGAGTATATTTCTTCAGGTTCTTTACTGTTGTTTTTTTTTGAAAATTTATGTAAATTATGTTGATGAATATGTTGTGTTTTGCTGGCTTCTGACCCATGAAGTCCGATGAACAAAAATCTGATATGTGGTCTCCCTTGCCTAATCAAGGGCGGAAACCCTGTTCTACAACACAGAACAACCAACGTGAGTGTATTTGCAAATGTCTTGCTGATCTCATATCCTGTTTTTGCTTTGCCTTTGCAACCCATGGGGAACATCCTAACTCTGTCTAATGTAACCATATATAGTTTTGCGAAGGAAGTCTCAGGCATATGTACAAGTGTTTCTTGATGGGGGTTTGAACCAACAGAGAATGGGGGTATGCATGAAACTTTCAATATAGCAATTGCACACACACATACAGACACACAATTCGCTACTTCTGAAGATCGTTACTCTTGAGACTTGGAGCCCGTCTCATAAGTGTTATTTGGTTGGAGTGCTTGAATTTTTTGATTTTCTGAGACAAAAAGTGTTTGGTAACTTCCACTTCAGCCAAATAAGTTAGTGATTAGTCAAAAGTTTCTTATTCTGCAGAATAGGCCAGATAATCAAACTGACCTAGAATTCCTGTCCTGAAATGCAGCTGCTGGAACTCATATGGTTTTCTTATACTTCCCTATATATTGTCCATAGATTTGTGATGCGGTAGCTGTGGCCAAAATTTTAAATGCAACCCTCATAATTCCATACCTGGAAATAAATCCAGTATGGCAAGATATAAGGTTAAGAATGCCTCCATTTCTAATCTTGATTTTTTCTCATAAGCAGACATAGAACTTCTGTATTTAAAATAAATGTTTCCCCCTTACAGTGCATTTGAGGATATATTTGATATCAATCATTTTATCCACGCATTGAGGGATGATGTCACCATAATTAAAGAGCTCCCAAGTGACTTATCTTGGAGCACCAGGGAGTACTATGCAACGGGCATACGAGACACTAGAATTAAGACAGCACCAGTGCATGCTTCTGCTACTTGGTATCTTGAAAATGTTTTGCCAGTAATGCAGAGGTTTGTTCATAAAATGTCATTTACAGTATTATACTTTTGAGCACTTTTTTGGGACAAGAACAGAAGCCTATCATCTACGTTTCATCTAAAAACATGGAAAAATTTATTCTTCTAGAGCTTGATTAGAACCCAGAAAATACTAGGGAAAAAAATGAACAGTTTAGGGAAAATTTGGAAGGAAAGAAAACTGTGGAGGGGTAAAGAGCCTATAAATATATTATAGATATTCATTGATACCCATTTTAGGTATAAGTTATTAAGTCCAAACAAAACATAAGAAAATCATAAGAAAATAACTTTCCTTGATGTGCTTCCCCATCCATTTCCAAGATTCATACATACCCTTAAGTTATGACTTGCTTCATGTTTTCCGGGCTTTGACAATGCAATGTAAAGGATGACAAGCCAATAAATGACGGGGGAGCTTTTTCTTTTGAATAAATAACACTGTGGCTGACTGGCTGTTTATCTAATCAACTTAATAGATACAGATACATTACCTGCTATTCAAATAGAGTTTGTGGTGCATAAACTATGAACCGTATATCGGATTTCAAACTTCGTAGTTTTTTTAAACAATTTTCATACCTGCTTATTTTCCTATATATTGTAGACATGGTATTGTTGCTGTAGCTCCGTTCTCTCATCGGTTAGCATTTGATGGTCTGCCTTCTGAAATTCAGCATCTGCGTTGTAAAGTCAACTTTCAGGCACTGGTTTATGTTCCACATATCAGGACTTTAGGAGATTTACTTGCCAGCCGTTTGAGAAGCAGCCCTCATATCATGGATGGAACGTCAACCTCCATATTTGAAAGAGGAGACAATTACATACCCGGAGTTGGAAAATATGTTGTTTTGCATCTTCGTTTTGACAAAGTATGACTCCTGTACCTTGCTGGCTTCTCATTTCTCAACCACAAAAATGGAGGTAGATAAAGTTGGTCTTAAGTAATTGTGTGTGCATCTGTACTTCTCCTTAGCTTTTGATGAAAAGGCTATTTATTTTTTTGTCCCAGCATATACAATATTTTTTCCTCATCACATAATTCGGTACATGTTATTCATTCTTATAACACTTGGCACATTGAACGTTCAAAACAAAGGCCTAAACCATTTAGGTTTTTGTGTGCCAAGCTTATTTAACTCGCTGGCGACTATTTAGAACAAGGACCAAGACTCACTATTCCCACTTTCATTTCAAGGTTGATGAAGAGAGACTAAAATGAAAGTGGTGTAAACCTACAGGGATAATAAATAAAACATTACTTTACAAGTACCCAAAACATTACATTTGCTGAGGGGGGCATATACATGGATTATATTGAATTTCATTTGGATATATTATAGATACACTGCACTTGCAAATTACAAATCAAGGGCGACCTATTTGAGAAATTGTTAGTTCACATCATAAACACCACATAACACTTAGGCCTATAAAGTATAAACAATAATGGTGTATGCTTGAGTGTTTTCGAACATAACTGGATCCAAGTTCTCTCCCATAAGCTTGACTTATTCAGATTTTAGTCACTAACTTTGCTGGGTCCGTCATTGGAACAGGATATGGCAGCTCACTCAGCTTGTGACTTCGGCGGAGGTAAAGCTGAGAAGCTTGCTCTAGCAAAATATCGCCAATTGATTTGGCAAGGAAGGGTTGTTAAATCTCAGTTCACTGATGAGGAATTAAGAAACCAAGGTCGGTGCCCATTGACTCCTGAAGAGATTGGACTCCTGTTGGCTGCCTTGGGTTTCAACAATAGTACACGCCTTTATCTTGCTTCCCACAAGGTCTGTATGTTTGTCTATTCCTCGTTGCGCTTTACATGTTACCACTCTCTCTTCTTGATCTCCTTTGCATATTTAGTCTTATAATCTTTTAAGCGGTACCCAAATGGTTCCATTGCTACGACTATTTTATATTTGGTCCTCCAGTTCACTATTTTTGCCTAATATGAGGGTTTTCATCATTTCTGGATCACATGTTCTCCGGTTAGGTCCCTCTTCGCCCATCTTCTTTTTGTTTGTTTTTTTTTTTATTTTCTTTTTGAATAAATAGTGTAAACATCAAAATTACATACTATCCTCCATTCCTCCATTTCTTTTAGTTGCAACATGAAAAATTTTACACTATTTACATGCTCTACTTTGACTACATTTTTATTTATTAAGGTATGAAAATTATTATTATTTTAAAAATATTGTTGAATTCATCTCAATATAAATTTTCATAATCTGATTTTTAATTTTTTTTACTTATAGAGAATGAAGTATAATTGGCTCTGATATTGTGGATTGATTCACGTTAGCCGACCCCAAAATCTTTTGGGAATAAAGCTTGGATGTTGTTGTTGTTATTGTTGTTGTAGAAAATTAAATATAATGATGGTCAAAGTTGTGCATTGGCAAGTGTGAAAATAGGAATGTTGCAACTTGCAATTAAAAAAAATAGAGGAAGTATTTTTTAAATTAATGCCCGCACATGCTCAATTTTATTGAAAATGACCAAATTAGGGAATGTAGTGACTGACATTTCTATTTTAATTTTTGCCAGAAATCCATAAATTGAGCAAATAATAATGAATTATAGGTCCAAATGTGTCAATGGTTCACGCTATGGGACTTTTATGGGTGCTGACTAAATAAATAAGCGTTACCTTTTTGCTTGTTTTCATTCTTACCAGGTTTATGGGGGAGAAGCAAGGATCTCAGCACTTCGACAGTTGTTCCCACTAATGCAGGATAAAAGAAGCCTTGCATCTTCAGAGGAATTGGCTGGGGTTGAAGGAAAAGCTTCTTTATTAGCTGCCTTGGATTATCATGTGAGCTTGCACAGTGACATATTCATCTCTGCTTCTCCAGGCAACATGCACAATGCACTGGTAAGACCATTCATTCTTAAACCATTCATTATTCCCTAAATTAATGTTGTTTGGAATCAGAGTTCCATAAACTCCCGGGAATAACAACATTCCAAATGCGCTATTAGCATAATATCATCTCCAGACATTTAATTATAACCAATTTACCACCAAACCAATACAAATAAGCCGTTGAATAATGAATATATAGGGAATGCTCTAGAGATCCTACATTGTCCTTAAAAAGAGCATTTATATTTGGTTGCATGCCTATGAGGTCATTCACACGTTTCTGGCATCCATTTATTTCATTATTGCTGCAGGGCTTGTATTTTCTCTACTGGTCTACCACTGGATTTCTTTCCACTTAAAGTGCTTTTCCATTGAAAACCAAGTAACCAACTTGAAGTTGGCTGGATGAGTAATGTAAAAGTGGTAGAAATTTCATACCAGTTCATCATTAGTGGACCAAGTTAAAGTCAAGACCAAAGTGGAAACATTTTCCTTGAAAGATTTAAAGATTAAGTTTGAATTATGAAATTGATGAGCTTTAAGAATGTGCCTTTCAAACTTCAATCAATTGATGATGCAAAAAATCCTTAGGTGGGGCATCGTGCATTCAAGAACCTGAAGACCATCAGACCGAACATGAAACTTTTGGGCAAGCTGTTCCTAAATAAGAGCTTGGGATGGGCAGAGTTCCAGCAAGCCGTGCTGCAGGGTCACAGGAATAGACAAGGGCAACTCCAGTTCCGCAAACAAAACCAATCAATATACACCTATCCTGCTCCTGATTGTCTATGTCCAGCTCCTGCTTAAACAAACAACAATCCCTTATTTTCCTTTGCCGGATAACACTGCTCCGAGCATTGTATATTGAAACTGTGTGTGTGTGTAGTTCTATGAAGTTGCTCTGAGGTTTTGCCTTTCAATTTAAGTATTTAACAATGTTTTCTACAAACATTGTAGAAAGGACGCATTTTGAAGAAAGCACTACAATTGCAGCAATTGAATTGCTTAAGGGATGATATTCGTATTTTCTGATATTGTAAAACTACTGAATATATACGTACAGACTACTACTAATGGGGGATGATTATGCTATTGAACTCATGCAAACAAAGGTACGATCCAATCTGTTTGGAGTAACTCACGCTACAAGTGTACTTTTTGTTTGAGAAAACTGTCAAATAGGTCCTCGAACTTTCATAAAAAGGTCAATTAAGTCCTTCTATAGGAGGTTTTGTCCAGCTGTCGCGATTTGGGTCAGTCCCGGTGGAATTTTTTTATGAAATTTTTCGAGCATCTTATTCACCAAGTCTAGTTTACTCATACCAAATTTCAGCTAAAAATTCAATCAGGAACTCATTCAAATTAATTCTTGAAGATAACTGCGCATTTTTGGGTTCTCGAATTAATTTGAATGCGCTCCCGATTAAATGCTTAGCTGAAATTTGGTATAAGTAAATTAGACTTGATGAATATGAGACTCAAAAAATTTCATAAAAAAAGCCCACCGGGAACCGCCCCAAATCGCGACGATCGGACAGAGTCTCCTGTAGAAGGACTTAATTGACTTTTTTATGAAAGTTCGAGGACCTATTTGACAGTTTTCCCTTTTTGTTTTTTGAAAAGCACCAATATGTTGCTTTCTTAAATAAGCAAAGTGAGTCAAGTGACCCCCTGCCAGACTTTTCTTGCCAAAAGTGAACTGTTTTTCTTCATCTGGGAAGCTCTCAATCCTTAAAAAGGAGTCATCCTAACATCTCTTGTTGATACTTGGTAGGGTTTGTCCGGCCCATCCTTGGAAAGGTCTGGTTTTGGTTCGGTCCTTGGACTGATGCAATCTTGGGAGTTTATAGGAACCAGGACCTATCTTTTCGGTTCTGGGTTTTGAATTTTTCTAACTACCCACCCCCAATGGTCAAAAGAGTCATTGGAGGTGAACCTTCACCACTTTTAAGCTACTTCTCAACGGATAGAAGGAAAAATAATCAAATTGGAACTGGAGTGGTCAGTTTTGGTCCCATGTTTTGCCACAGAATAGGGACGTCCCCTGTTACAGTTCCAATCAGAAATTGTTGGATCGGTTCTGATTTTAGTTGACCGGTCGGTTCCTCACCAGTCCTGAGGTTGTGGCCACCCCCTTACACTCGGGTCTCGGGTAGTCGGGTTGAGTGTGTATTCCCGATAATACTTTGTCTATCTAGAATTCTAGAAATGGGTACAGCCGTATAGGGTTAGTTCTTGTTCGGATTTAGTTCACCTTAAGGTAGGGCTTAGGAAGACCGTTTGAAGTAAAGCTTAAAAATACAACTGCTTAAAAAGCTGCTTACTAACCGAAACAGGTGCTTAAAGTGTCATTTACTAAGCATACAACCCGTATTAAGTAAGCAGCACTATAAGCTTTTTCACTTTCCGAATATACACTTGCCCTTACCCCTGATTGTACCCCTAACCCTAACCCACTACCCACCCCTCCGCCCCTACAAGACCCCACCCCTACATCCCTACCCCTACCCTTTTCCTTTATCCGTTCGTGTACCCTTACCCCTACCTCAACCCTACACCTACCCTCCCCCACCTATCCCCTAACCCCTAGCCCTTACCACCCTACCCTCAACCAAAACCTTACCCCCACCCCCACACTTACCCGTCACTCGTACCCTTTACCCCTTACCTTACCTTGACCCTACCTTGTTACCCCCAACCAGTTGCTCTTATCTCGACCCTACCCTGGCCTCCATCCCCTTACTGTACCCTACCCCTGCCCTTACCACCCTACCCAACTCACAACCTCTACTTGTACTCGTATACTCATTTACCCCCTTACCTCTGTCCCCTACCCCTCCCTCGTTACCCCCTACCACTTATTCCTACCTTGACCCTATCTGGACCCCATACCCCTATCCACCTCGTACCCTACCACCCTTTTACCCCTTACGTCGTACTCGTATCCTTACCCCTACTCCCTACCCTGACCCCTACTCATGGCCCATACCCATACCCCTCTACCCCATACCCAAGGTTCGAGGCAAGGGGTAAGGTAGGGTACGGGTTAGGGTGAGGGGTAGGGGTATGACGTAAGGGGTATGGGTGTGGTTGCGGTATGATCGTAGCAAGGGTAGGGGTAGTTAGGGTGGTATGGGTAGGGTGTAGGGTGGAATTGGGGGTAGGGGTAAGGGTTGGAGCGGGTAACAGGTAAGGGTATAGGAATGAATGAGGGGTGGTAGGGGAAGGGGTAAGGCCGTGGTAGGGGTAGGGGTTAGGGGTGTTGGGTTGGAATTAGGGATAGGTTAGGGGGCAGGCGTATGGGTACATGGGTGGCCCCCATGTATTATATGTATATACTTGTGTACATGAAAGTTTGCGTGTCAATATATGTAGGGTTATTCTCAACATTTTAATGTTAAACGGTGTTTTAAATCCTGTGAAGTAAACATGAGCTTATAACAGTATAACACTGCTTATTTTACGTGCCGCTTAGTAACGCAAGTCTTAATAAGCACCGCTTAATAACGCAAGTCTTACTAAACACCGCTTAGTGGCCTGTGAAGTAAACATGTCATTTGTCTATCTGGAAATCTGGAATGGGTACAGGTTAGTTCTTGTTTGGATTTAGTTCACCTTAAGGTAGGAATTGTGATATGAATTGTTAATATTGGTCTAGTTCGGAGTTGTGTGAAATTCACGATTTTGGAACCGGTCCCAGTATGACTCCTACGTAATGTTTGTACTACCTCCGTCCCCCTAAGATTAGGACAAAGGAGAGTGATGGATTTTAAAGAAAAAGTTGAGTTATGTGTTTTATAATGAATGAATTGATAAAGTAGGAATAACGTAAGAATGAATTAGAGTCACACAAAGAATACCAAATTAAATATGGTATTAAACAAATTTAGTGGGACAGGCGGAAAAGGAAAAATAAGACAATTATAGTGGGACGGAGGGAGTAGCTAATATGGTAGTGGGATATGCAACTTGGTCCTACTTTAGATCAACCTTGTTGATAAATAGCGAGTTTTGACTCAAAGGCGATCAGTTATCTCGTAAAATTGGTCGGTCTTGGTTCTAATTCAGAAAAGGGACCATGTTTGTGACTAACACCAGTCCCTATATCATACATGCGGGTGTATGTACAATCGGCACAACTAAGGAAGACAACCCAATAACTACTACAGTCAAAAAAAAAATTGGTGGCATTTTTGTAATTTAAGCAAACAATCACAGGTTCCGGTAAATGAGCAATAGTGTGCGTTTAGTGAGCATCTAACATATTTTATTGAGTATTAGGATGCTAACAATGAGTATCACGATCATTGCTTCATATCTTCTACTCCCTCCATCCCAAATTGTTTTGCAAAGTCAATATTTTTGGTCAACCAATAAAAAAAGTCAATGCTCACTATCGATAATTAATTCAATTTTTAATACTCCCTCTGTTCCGAAAAGGTTGGCCAAAGTTGACTTTCATGTGGATTAATAAAGTAAAAACTGTGTGGTTGAAATGTGTGCAGAGGAGAGAAAATTAATTTTAGCCACATATTCCAGAAAAGGAAATTTGGCCAACCTTTTCGGGACGGAGGAAGTATTTAAAATTTATATATTAAGAAACTACATAAAAATCTCTTCAAAGTTGCAAACTCTAAATTAGAATATAATTAGAATTTGACATCCTAATTAAGCAAATAAAATGAATTTGTTTGACCAAGAAAAGTCAAATTTGCAAATCAATTTGGGACGGAGGTAGTAATACTTTTTCTTTTTCTTATTTTTTTCTTTTATATTTTTTTTAAATATATCTATAATCCACTCCTATTAATTTCAATATGCGAGTCTAATGTAATATGATACTTTTGAAATATGCATTGATATGACATTTTAAAAATGAGCATAACATCAGTACCAAATGAGTATACATAACTTACAAAGTGCACATTGATATGAAAATCGTAAGGTTTGTTAGTTGAACATCACGACATTTTAAGTGAGCATCAAACCTCCGCTAATGAGATGAAAATCACGGGTTCTAGTGAATGAGTATTAATAAACTTTTAATGAGCATTTAGAAAATGAGCATAAGATCAGTACCAGATGAGCATACGTAATTTACAAAATGCGTATTGATATGAAAATCGTAAGGTTTGTTAGTTGAACATCACGACATTTTCATTGAGCATCAAACATCCTCGATTGAGATCGATGGAAATCACAATTTCTGTTAAATGAGCATTGATGATTTTTTTAATGAGCATCAGACCTATAGCAAGGAGCATATGTAACTTACAAGATGAGCATTGATATGAAAATTGCAAGTTTTGTTCGTTGAGCATCAAGACATTTTCGGTGAGCATCAAACCACCATTATTGAGTATTAGAATCGTGCGATTGAGTATCATGATTTGTGGTCTCATGTCTATAATCAACTCTTATGTGAATCTAATGTAATATGAGACTTTTGAAATATGCATTGATATAATATTTTAAAATGAGCATAACATAGGTACTAAATAGACATACATAACTTACAAGATAAGTTTTCAAACTTTCAAAAGCTCATTTGTGTATGTTCATTTTATTTAAGCGTTTTATTCATTTGAATTTAAAATGAAGCTCACTTCTAATGTGCTTAGTATTTAATATATAAAGAAAAAGAAATAAGGAAACTGTTAGGAAATTGATGTAACGTACCTCGAAAGTACAGCAGCGGAAGTTTAAAATTTTCCCAAACAGATCTTCCCTGATTATGACAAAACAACGAATAAAACAATAATAACAGATCTGAGTCAGAACTTACAGATCTTCAAGCCTAGCGGTGATAATCCTTGACCTTTGGTATCCACGTGATTTCTCCTTTCCGAAAGAACGGTTAGATCTCCCTAAGAGAAAGACTAGGAAATCTCTTCGCAGGGAAATAAACTGGTAATACTGAATCTAAAAACTGGTCTATCAATTATGAAGGAGAATGATGTATTTATACTAGTTCTAAACTAGTTACCCAATCACAATGAAAGTGTTCTTCATTAATGAGTTTTAATCCTATTAGGACCAAAACTCATTATTTAATTAAATAGTTGAATAAAACAAAATAATTAATAATAATATTAATAACAATAGAGAAGTGGCACGC